ATTCTCACTTGATAGATTCCAGGTCTATCATTAAAATCATTTCCTTGTGCTGTCACCCTTCACTGTACACACCTTGCAAAATCCCACCTGGGTAAAACCCAATAGTTGTTTGACCCTGTGTCTCTCCTTGGCAGCTGAACACAGTTGGAGAAAAATACAATCATGCTGGCAGGTTTCACGTTAAATTCTCTACCACAAATCCAAGTGTATTTCTCTAGCTGGACTGAGTCCACAGTCTTCGAGAGAACTGTTTCACACCTCTTTTCTCAAACCCCTCACCCATGGATCCTTACCTCTGGCCACACCTTTGAATCACCTGGAAGCCTATAAAATGCACCAGTATCCAAGTCCCACCTCCAGAGATTCTAATTGTGTAGCACAGGGGACCTGGATATGAACGTGCTTTTAAAAATCTCCAGGTGACTCTCATGTACAGTCAGGATTGAGGATCAACTGCTTCCTCAGACACAGCTAATCATCCTTCTGATGACTGCACTGAGAAAATTGAATTAGTAAAGAAAGGACAGCTACAGACTCCTGCCAAATCTACCTGCATGGGGCCTTTACTCCATTCTGTACTAAGACTAACCCTTCTGCTTCTGCATTCCAGCCCATCACCATTCAAGCCAACTAGGGCCTTGTTTGTCATCACTTCCTCTCTCACCAGCATCTGTCTTGTATTCTTTCTGCTGAATCATGCCCACCACTATTCAAACATCTCTTGATTTTAAGAAATCTCTTCTCCAGTTCCCAAAAGCCACCTCTGTCATTTCCCTTCTCTCTGCAGTAAAATTCCTCCTCAAAATTGGTCTTTACTCAATACACAAATTTCTTTTCCCATTTTTCTGAAATCCACTCCAGTCACAGTTTCACACCGCCCCCCACTCCACAGCCCCATTGTCAAACCCAGTGGTTAAGTCTCAGCCTTCATCTTACTAGATCTCTCAGCAGCATTTGGTCATTATTTCTTCTTTGAAATACATGTTTAGCCTCTAAAACTGCTGTGTCTGTTTCCTGAATTCTCAGTCTCCTTTGATGCTTTCTTCTCAGTTCCCTCATGTCTAAATATGAGTGTGCTCTCAGACTTTCTAATCCTTGGGTGATCTTGTCCATCTACCTGCTGATGATGCCTCCAATCCAGACCTGATCCTTGAACTCCAGATTCCTCTCTTAAACTGCCTACTTTCCAGATTCACTTAGATATGTAAAATCCAACATGTTCACAACCAAGTTCTTTTTTTTTTTTTTCTCTCTAATCCTGGTGATCTTGCAGTAGCTCAAGCGAAAAACTATGGAGTCATTCTTGACTCATCTCTTTCACTGTCCACTTTTGACTCTTCTGTAAAAGCTGTGGGTTCTACCTCTAACTATATTCTCATCCTGATCAGTTCTCATCACCTCCATTACTACCATTCTGGTCCAAAACACCCCTTTCAACTGGTCTTTGGGATTCCATCTTTGCTCTGCTCCTGTTTATTTCCCACTCAGCAGCTAGAGTGATCTATCTAAAACACAAGTCAGATCTTGTTATTTCTTTGCTTTCAGCTCTCCAGTGGCTCCCCACTTCACTCAAAATAAAATACAGTCTTACAAGATTTAACAGCCAACTTCCTCTCCGATTTCCTCTCCTGCACTCTGCCTCAGCTGCACCAGCCTCCTTAGTGCTAATTGAGTATAGCTAGTGTGCACCCACCTTGGGGGTTTCCACTTATATTCTTTTCTTGAATGCACTGGGCTTGCTCTTAAGGATCTACCCCAATGTCTTATCAGAGCAATGTCCTCTGACCATACACACACCAATTTCACCACCATCATCGTAATCAACATAATGACTGTCCCTCTACTACCCTTTATCAACAAGTGATATATTACAAGTTTATTTGTTTCTCTTCTCCCCTTCTATTTGAATGTAGAATTTGAATTCTATTTGAATTTCTTTTTGGCCAACCCAATGTGTGTGTGTGTGTGTGTGTGGGTTAGTCTCTCAGTCATGTCTGAGTCTTTGAGACCCCATGGATCATGGATTGTAGCCCACTAGGCTTCTCTGATCATGGAATTTTCCAGGCAAGAATACTGGAGTATCTGTGTTAGTTGCTCAGTTGTGTCTGACTCTGTAACCACATGGACTGTAGCTCATGAGGCTCCTCTGTCCATGGAATTCTCCAGGCCAGAATACTGGAGTGGTAGCCTTTCCCTTCTCCAGTGGATCTTCCCAACCCAGGGATTGAACCCAGGTCTCTGGCATTGCAGGCAGACTCTTTACCAGCTGAGCTACAGGGGAAGTCCTTAGCAAGATGAAGATTTAGGAAAATGCTAATCAATTATTTTACCATATTTTTATGTATTCATTAGAGTGATACATGATAAAACTCTGTATTTTTGTTTAGATTCGATAATCTAAACAATTGTCAACTATTTTTTTTCAATATGTTTAAATTTAAATTATTAGGGAAAAAGAAACATTGTATCATAGTTTAAATGGTAGTATTTTTCTTTTGTATGTAGAGATACATACAACAAAAGTGTACTATGCCATGAAAGGAGAAATACAGCTATTAACTCCAGGTACTAAAAGTACAAACCCCTGGTTTAACAAATCAAATCCTAAGGAATCTATTACACAAATAAATTGCTTTTGCAATTTGGAGCTCATTGAGAAGACTATAAACCAAAAGCTCAACATTAACCTAAAATTACTTAATTATATTATGAATCTGTATTACTTGGAAGATGTTTTCAAATGACTCAAAATTAAAAGATCTTAGTGTAATATTGGTTTTGTAATTATCCTCACAAATACATTAATTATAAAAGTTAATGATGTGGAATCAGCATGGTAGCATCAAGTAGGAAGTTGCCAGGTAGATGTGGAAGTTTTTTGCCTTTTATTTTCCAGATGTTTTCCTCCATTTCCTCTCTTCCCTCCACAATGAGAAGCAGCCACCTGTCTTAAAAGGTTGGAATATTTTTACTTTTCTTGGTTTTTACTTAACTGTGTTAAACAATGTAACATGCTAAACAGTGATTCTAAACTGGAATAGTCATCCAGTTTTTATTAGGGGTAACAATTTGATTTCCCAGTCTCTTGTAACCATTTAATCCTTTTCCATTGTTATGTGTTGTGTGAGCTACAAGCACTTTGAGCGTAGGAAGCACAAAGGCTCCTTGGGATTAGTACCACACAAATGCAGATTAAGGACAGTAGAAGACTGTGTCCATGCTTGTAACTGTCATTGCTCAGTTTTGTGCTTCCTTTGGGCAGCAAAGCAATCTATTGTTTTAAAAACACACAAGTTACCTTAGCTGTTGATTTTTTCATTGACTACCTGAAGAAGGGAAGAAACTCTATCCTACAGAATATGCCTCTCTGGATCCCATTCAATTATTTTTAACTGTGTTGTGCTTAGTCGCTCAGTCATGTCTGACTTTTTGTGACCCCGTGGACTGTAGCCCACCAGGTTCTGCTGTCCATAGGGATTCTCCAGGCAAGAACACTGGAGTGGGTTGTCATGCCCTCAAGGGGATCTTCCCAACCCAGGAATCAAACTCGGGTCTCCCACAATGCAGGCAGATTCTTAACTGTCTGAGCCACCAGAGGAGCCCTGAAGGAGAGAAGCAACTCTTCTCTATAGAATCCAACTCTCTGGATATCATTCTATTATTTTTAACAGATAACATGAAATCTTACAGGAGTCTTAGACAATTTCTAATTTCAGAATTTGCACTTGAGGTATGGAGCCTTATTTTGCTCTCTGCACCTTCAATCTATGTTTCACATGACCCTTTGTGGTAAGCATGAGAACCTGTACATACCCTCTTCAAACTTTTTGGCTGGTTGGCACAGTATGTAGATATGCTGGAAATTATTTCTTTTCTGTGGCATCATTCTTCTAAGGAAGTTGAAAGAATCAGTCAATCATGTAGCAAACAATGTGATGTGAATCTCTTCCTTTTTTATATATTGTCTTTTGGTGATTATCATGAATTTCTCCCTATACAGTGGCTCTGGTTTGGGAAGAGGAATCTTGGGGACTGGGATGAGAGGTCAAGAATGGAATTGCCTGCCTGTTGGTGGCAGAATGGTCCCCACATTTTCATTCTTTATGCATGCTTATAAATAGCAACATGCCTTTCCATTTTGTGTAATTATTTAGTTAATACCCAGTTGGATTTGTAAGCCCTCACATTGCCATGGGTTTATTTTATTTCAGAGCAATAGGGACTTTATGGCCCAATTACCATCAATGTGATTTATTGTGCTATTTGTGGGAGGGACAGGGGAGCAAGAAGACAAGACAGACTGATCATATGTACCACCATCAACAGGATGACAGTCACACACTCCTGACCAAGGAAAAGGGGTAGTTGGAACCTTTCTGTTGTATTTATTAAAGCACTTAAGTCTAGGTGATTGTGCTATATTTTAACAGATGACTGTGAAATCTGTGAGTGAAGGAGATAATAGTGTTGTTAGAATAATCAATATGTTGGTTATTTTGATTTAAAAGATGTCAAATGTGAAGAACGATGAAGAATGACAGTCTACCTAATTCCAGATGCTGCCACTCTCAAATTACAGGCGTGTTAAAGGGAGACTGAGTAAGCATCTGACCTCAGAAATGGACCGGTGAGACTGGCTCCTAATTGGAACAAGGTTCCCTGAAGCCAGACAGCCCTGTATTTATAGGAGCAAGCGGCGCAGCCCACCGTGACCGATGGGCAGCAGGCAGGGAACTGTGACCCTTCGCCTACCTGGAGAGTTTCCGTAGCGGCTGATTCAGAACCAATGGGACGGACAGCTCCCCGGCTCCGGGCTCAGGGCGCGGACTGCGGAAGGGAACAAGAGCGCGGAGGGTCCGCGCACCGTCAGCAGGATTGGGCGGCGGAAGAGCACACTGCGTCTCTCTCCCACCTATTTCGTTCCTCCCTTCCCCTCAGAGGGCAGCGAGAGGCCTGCGGTGGCTGTCCCGAAGGCGAGTCCCTACAAGCGAGGGGACTGGCCGGAGCTGCGGCCGTCCTCCCCCGCTCACCGCCTCTGCCAGCTAGCCGTGCCAGATCGCAACGCCTCGCCCAGCCCCGGCGGGGCGGACGGGTGGGCGTCCCTGG